GCTAGAGCCGGCCCTGCTACTAGCCAGTGATAGATTTGAAAGAGGCCCCACAAGTAAGACTGAGCAATGCCCTGGTGAGAAGCCCAGCACTCCTTGCTACAAGCTGCTGGGAAGGATACTTGTTCCTTGGTCCCTGTTTGAGGAGGTTCTGTGTTTAGCATACAAGCTGTACTACCCTCCACCTCCTGGAAAGGAGAGGGAACTTGGTCTTTACTCCTCATTCAAGGACCTCTGGCATCCCTAAGTGGGTAGGGTGTTTGCTCTTCCTTCCAGGAGCTGAGAAGTAGTAGTTCTACTGTACCATTCCATGCTTTTTAGAATCTCTGCTGTTCCCAAGTATAGTTCCAGACCTTGCTGTTCTGCTGCTCATAGCTTTCCCAAGTAGCAGCAGCAACATGAATTTGACAGTTTCCCTCCCTCCTACAGAGTTCTGAATAGAAGCAGTGAAAACTAACTAGAATCTAGATAATTACAGTCTGCTACTGCTTAGTTTAACTAGAAATTATCAGAGGCACCAGAACAGTCTGTGGTTTGGAAGACATTGCTATATTGAGCATTTCATTCACATTTGTAAGGTTAACTTCACAATCTATTATTATTATTATTATTTTATTATTATTATTATTATTACTTCCTTTGCAGTGGCATCTAGAGAGGTCAGGCCTCAATGTGCTAGATAATATATACACAGGATGAAAAGTTGGTTTCTGCCTCAGAGACTTTGCAGTCTAAGTAAAAGGGTTTGAAACAGTTTTTTTAAATGAAAGCTTGAATCCTGCAGAAATTGAGAGCTGAGGTCCCCCCATTGACCAGTGAAAGCACTGTACTCATTCATAAGTGGATTTTTCAAGCCCTGCTTACCACTGTGTAAGAGAACTCATTATTTTGTTCCGTGTGGGTTCGGAAGACATGGTTTTCCTGCCCCGCCCCACATATTCAGAGTTGTACAATTGGTGCATCATGGCTGGATTACCATTCTTTGAAGCATCATGTACTGTTCGCTTCTGAGACAGGATACTGGACTAAATGGACCACTGGTCTGAGACAGATATTTTATGTAAAACTCTCAGAGATGGATTTAAATAACTGAAATACACAAGCATAAGCACCGTACAATATAACATTGTTACTAGAAATCTGAATAATATTCTGATTTATGAGGCGATATTAAATGATAATAAAGATATTATAATTATAGCCAAGAAGTCTTAGCTTATATTGTGCTTTGCATACAGTCTGCCCTCTGGATGTCACTGTTGTATAGTCTTCTCCCATCATTTTGTTTTGTAGACGTATTGAGGACAGCATGTTCACTAGAAGGGGAAAAAATTAATGATACAGGATTTTTTTTTTAGTGCGGGAAGAAGTTTTGCTTAATGGAAATTACAACACCACCATAGGAAAATAAATTCAGCAATATTAAAGGTTAGAATTAAATCAACAGAAGGAAAGGAATTCCGAGCTAAAGCTAAAATGCACCCTGAATTCTCCTTCTCTTGTTTTTTTAACCCATGTAGTGCACAAGATCATTCCTGTTCAGATGTCTGCAATACTTACACATGGTGGGTTGAATGGGGGATGGAGTTCGTTGGAAATCTGACATTCCTTGTTGTGGAAGGAAGTCAGGCCATAAATATCTTTCTAGTTTTGTTTTTGGTTAATTTCTTGTTTCTTTCTCAATGTGTTAGAGGAAATGTGTGTAGGATGAACAACATGATCGGCCTAATACCATGTGTGGAGGGTTCATGCCGGGGCTCGACCCTCCTGGGCAGGAGGGGGGCCACACCGACTCACCACCGGTGGGGCAGCAGTGTAGTTCGCTGGGGCAGTGCTCCGACCTTTTGGCACAGGACCGAGAGACACACAGTTAGGGGCTCAGCCCTTCGGTGCAGGGGCTGAGCAACAGTACAACAGTAAGAAAGCTCAGGCCCCTTTGGTGCAGGGGCTGAGCGTTGGGAGAGGGGGAAGCCTGCCACCCGTGAGCAGGCCCACCCACTCCACTGCGTCCCAGCCCGGGGCCCTAGCAGCAGCGGCTGCGGGTCAGTGGGGTGTCCTGACTGAAACACACTGACATCGGCTCATGCGTGGCTACAGCCTGACCGGGGTCGGCTACCCCCGGCCTACTTCCGGGTTCCCCCTCAGGGCCTACCTCGTCCGTGGCACCGGGCCCAGTCCAATCCACCAGCATGGGTTCCTCTCGGCCGGGGCTGGGTGGCAGGTCCAGCAGCTCCTCGGGGAAGTTCGGCCAATTAGACTCGGGCGGCTACTCCGGGTAACAACAGGGGCGGAGGGGCCCTGGTGGCGTCTCGCCTTCGGGTTTGGTGTGGGGGAGTTCCAACGGCTCCTCCCAACGACGGGAGCGGGCGGGCTCCGGTGACTCCTCCTCGTAGTGGGCTCGGGGCAGCTCCGGCCAGTTAGGGCAACGGCCACGGGCCTCAGAGGTCTCCCGGCCGTGAGCTCCCGGCCAACATCTGCTCCTTGCGGCGGCTGGGGCCTCACTGAGCTCTGGCAGCCGGCTTTTATACTTCCTGTCCCGCCCCTTGACTTCCAGGGGGCAGGAACAGGCGGCGGTGGCTCCGCCCACTTGGGTGTCTGTAAGGGAGCTCCCTCTGCTGGGCAGGAGGGAAGCCACACTGACTCACTACACCATGCAATCACTTGTTTTAAAAACTATTATGAAAACATATTTGCTCACCTTTCACGCACCAGTGACAAAACATTAGGACTCGGCCATCCAAAATTGTGACACTGTGGACTGTGTGTGTTTAGATGCTCAGCATAGCCAGAAGAAAGTTTGGCCAGTTGTGCAGAACCTCAAAGAGAACTGCTCAGAGGGAGTGTGATCGCCATATAGTACAACAATAGTCTATCATTTTAGCGTGGTTGCCAAGTAAACCAGTTGGTCTGGGCAGTCTGTGACTTTGCTTCTGGTAAGGGGCAGACTGCATGTTGCTAGTCAGACCCTCAGAAAACTTGTGAAGTCTATGGATCATCTCTAGCTCATAAATGCCAAGAATAACATTAACAGAAAATAATTATTAAAATGAGAGAGATCCAGAGGAACTGAACTTCTTTTGTTAATGTCAAATTTAAAATTAACCTTGGAAAATCAAGATTCTGAACGTTTTAGGGCATCTTTTTGTTGTAAGTAGTTATTTTGAAGAACTCTTCTGATTTAAACCATCCAAAAGAGAGTGTTTAAATATATACTTTGACACCCTTCAAGCATTGCAACAGTGGGAATATATATATTGCATTTAGGTATCCAAAGCTTTCTTTTTGACCTAATTTGTTTTTTTTTTTTAATACCACACCTGTTCCCTTGAAAAGAGGCTTTTATCTCTTAAAGCTCACGCACTGTAGTTTAACTGATTTTTATCGTTCTCACTTGCACTGTCCCAAAATCTAATAATGACTTTTGGCTTTTAACAGTCCTTCTCCCTAAAGGCATAGACACAACTTTATATCTAAAGAGTTTTATCTAAAGAGTTCTGTCACCATAACTACAGTCCTTGTTGAGGGTAGTAATCGGTGAGAATTGACACAAATATATGGCCAAGATTCTCCAACTTTTATCAAAATAATAATTATTAATAAGGTGTTGCCTTTAGCTCTCATGCTCTGACAATATTGAAGGTGGGAGAAGGGAGGAACAACAGCAGCCCAGAACAGTCATTAGTTTTCCTGCCTCCCCTTAGGACATCATCTGGCCAAGGCCTGCCAGACCTTCCTAAACCAAAGACCTGACTGGAGCTCCCTAACTCCAAGAGAGAGACAAATCTGTGATCCCATGCAAACTACTACTTGCTGAACCTTTCATTAAAAGTTCAGGTGCTCTTACAAATCTTAACCATTAGCATGGGAAGGTGGGTGGATGGCAACTTCCAGTTTCTTAATCAAAATGTTGTGCAGTACCAAGAGGACCTCTAAATGTATTCTGTTGACACTTTCTTTTTCACCCAAACTTGTAATTTCATATAAAAAAGAAAAATCAAGTTAATTTGACAAGATCTATTTTCCATAAACCCCTTATTGAATGGCATTATTTATATTACCTTCCTTTAATTCTTGATTAATCAAGTCCATTATCAGCCATTCCCGTATTTTGGCCAGGATCTATTTCAGGCTGACAGACCTATAATTACCTGGTTCATCCTATTTACCTTTTTTAAATACTGGTACAATGTTAGCTTACCTTTCTTCTAGAACTTTCCCAGTGTTCCAAAAGTTACTGAAAATTAACATTAGCAGACCAGAGAGCTCCTCAGTCAGTTACTTTAAAATCTCTGATGCAAGTTATTTGAACCTGTTGATCTAAAAAATCTAACTTTTAGTAGCTGTTGTTTCACATCCTCCTTAGCTACTGTTGGAATGAAAAGTATTCCGTCATTGTGACACAACTACATCATCTGGCTTTTTCTCAAATACAGAACTTCTGCCTTTTCTGGATTATCATTAAGGCCGCGATTCTTTCAAGGAGGTCCCAGAAGTCACGGATTCCGGGACCTCCATGACTTCTGCAGCAGCTGGTGGGGCTGACCCCGTGGCCGCCCACACCTGCTCGGGCAGCCTCTCGCCCAGAGTTGCTGTAGTGCTGACGGGGCCCCGGGCCGACCCCCACCTGGAGTCTCTCTCTCTCCTCTCGCCTCCCCGGTCAGGAGCAGCAGCCGCATCTGCTGGAGCACCCCCCACAGAGCAGCAGCAGCGTTCACTAGAGCGCCCCCCCCAGCACCTAAGATTTAGTTAGGGGTATTTATAGTACAAGTCATGGGCCGGGACTTTTTCTTTATTGCCTGGGACCTATCCATAACTTTTACTAAAAATACCTGTGACTAAATCATAGTCTTTGACAAGTCTACCATTTCCATATGATTTGTATTTATGACGATCAACTTCACCTTTCTTACATTTGTTGTATCTGTTTATTATTTTTTTATAGCTACTTTCACTTCTCCACTAAATCAGGTTGGTGTTTGAACCAGTTTGGTCTTTTTTCTCACTTGTGGGATGTGTCTTTTTTTGGCACCTAGTAACATGTTCTTAAATAATTCCCAATACCCATTTACATTTTTCTGTTTAAAGTCTTCCTCTCAACTGATTTGGCTCGTAACTATTTTCAACGTTGTGAAATTGGCCCTTTTAAAGTATCAAGTATATACCAACTGTTACTTGTATGGACTTTATTCTGTTTGCACATAAATTGTGATAAAGTTATGATCACTTGTACTTAAGCTACCACTAGTTTTTAGTTCTGCAATCAGTTCCTGAATGTCAAGGTGATGTCTAATATAGAATGCCCCTGTGTTGAATTTAACACTTCTTGAGTTAAGAAGTTGTCATCTGAAATATTTAGAAATAATTCTGAGGACATTTTAGTAGTTGAAGTGTGAGACCTCCGGTGTAAGTTGCTCAGATTGACGTCCCCCAGGATAGTGCATTTTTCCCTCACATTGTAGATAGGAGCATAAGGAGATGGTCGTCCTGTTCTCTGGTCTGATTTGGTGGTCTGTAGCAGACACAGAGTAGTACCCATCTTGTTTTTTATCTCTCAGTACATTGATCAAGATGGTTTTCTTCTGTCAGTGACACAGAAACAGGTAATGCCATTTTTGACATAGAGTGCCTTCCTCCATTCCTTTTGCCAACTCGATCCTTCCTAAATCGGTTTTATCCATTGATTTTTTTTTTTAACATTCCAATAGTGCAAATCTATCCACTAGGTTTCAGCAATCCCAACTAGATTGAATTTTTGCCTACAGATGAACAATTCAAATTCCTTTTGTTTATTATCCTGGGTGTATAGGCAATTAAAGAATTTCTTTTTTTCACATTCCTTGGTGCATTGATTGATTAACTTGTTCTCAACATCTTGATATTCTGTTAAATGACTGCTCATTAGTTTCCGCTTTTCACCCTCTACTTTTTTGTTATTTTAATACCCTTCTGACTACTCTAGCCAGCCATTCCCCTAGAAAATTGGTTCCCCTGCTGCGGAGATGGAAGCCATCCAAACTATACAGCCCCTTTTCCCCATAGAAGGTGAACCAGTGTTCCTCACGCTAAATCCCTCTGTCTCCAAGCACAGGATCTGTAGCTATGATCTTTGAAACTCCCCTGTTTGCTGCACGTTTGCATTAATGTCTAGTGCTTTCTCTGAACATAGTATATGGCAGCATGAAATAAACTAAAAATATTTCAATTTGCAATTCAAAGAATGTTCATCATTGGATTTTCTCTTCAAGGAGTGCAGTAACTGGCATATGTTTGCTAAATTGAAATAATGTTTTTGTTAAATTTAGAAAATGAGTAAGTGGGATTTTCTTTATTCTAAAAAAATAAGACTTGCATATTCCATGACTTCAGAATGTCAACGGATGTTTTGTGGAGATGTCTAGTTCTTTCATATAGTTTGTGCAATATAGGCTTATGAAAACAATTGGGAATAATTTGCCTTATTAAAAAATGTAACTAAGCTTGCTACCTTTTCATACTGTGGAATTTTCATTGTTCTACTTGTCTTTTTGATGTCAGCAACATTATTGCAGACATGAAGATTGGGAAACGCCATCACAATCGTGGTGTATCCAGGCCATCCAGTCAGATTTCATTTGATGACGATGATGGGCAAGGTGACATGTTTCAAAGAGGTATCCTGTCTGAATTTGCTGGAAGTAAAAGGTACTCTCTACTTGCCTGTTTTCTCTTCGTGCTCCTTCCCACAATAAAATATTGACCAGTTAAGTTTTTAAATTCTAGTAATAAAGAAACACCAACTATATTCCAAAACTTGAAAGCTAAAGAGTTCTCCATAAGTTTCTATATCTTCCACAAAAATGCTCTGACTCCACATTCCATATAGATGTAGGAATACAGGATACTGTAGGAAACAAAAGAAAATGTGTTTCTAACACTATTTTATAAGTATTTTTTTCTAAACATAGCATTAAAGTAGATTAGTGTAAGAACATAGTTAATTGTAATAAGCTGACCAAAGTAAATGCAGTTTTTTTAGTATTAAACCTGATTGTTGCAAATGTTTGCTAGTATATAATCTACTTTTTGACTTCACTGTTTGTGTTTTTTGAATGTATCACTTATGCACAATATTTTTACATCTCATTCTCTATCATGTTAGGGGGGTGGGGAAAAAGCTTCAAAGTGCTACTGTCATTTGAAGGAAAACTTAGAAAAATGGTCTGTGTAAAAATATTTCACCAATTGAGTTTTTTTTCTTCTTCTTGCTAAGGAAAATAGGAACTTTGCACCTAAGTCATTTCTTGAGTTTACTGTCGCCTCAGGCATCAAAATTGGCTACCATGGAACTAATGATTTAAAATGGTGACTTGAGAATTCTCCCTGAAAATGGCAACACCTTTTGCTATATTTTTTGTTTTAATTAACCCAGGCTATTTTTACTCAGTTAAGAGAACACCCTTACTTTGTTATACTGTAATTAGCTGGTGTTTCATCCGGTATTCTGTCCCTAAAACACACAGTCTATGTGGAATCCTCACAGTCACTTGTCTTAGGATATTCTCCCCACATTTCTATTCCCAATAAGATTATTTCCTTTTAAAATTAACTAAATCTGACTTTAAGTGGAGTTAGTGGGTTAGAAGTTGAGAGAACCATGTTTATTGGCATATATGTGGGAAATTTGGAAGGCAGGATTTGCATAACTGAGAAATAAACATTCCTGGATCAGTAGCTGTACAATATCCTTGCATTCCTTGGCTGAAACGGATTTATTTCAGTATATCAGAAAATTACGATTTTAAGTGAGGAACAAACAGGAGCATATGAATTCTTAAGCTATGTAGATCATACGTAAAAACCAAGGGAGCAGTATTCACAGTTATATCATCAGAAAACATCTGTAGATGCTGAAATGTTTCTAAGTAATATGATTTTTTCTGATTTTGGCAATTGTCTTATGTAGGAGTTAGAAAAGTATCTTGAAGGCAGAGTTTCACATAGTTGGGAACAGCTCCACTTCTCAACCCCCAAAATGCAGCAAGTCATGGAGAGGGGATAGACAAGGCTGAGACTGGAGAACAGGGAACTGAACAAGGGAAGAGAATGAGCCCTCATTGACTTGTACGGAAACTTTTGTCCCAAGGTTTTCAGTTCTTGGGGAGCTGTAAATGATGCCAATGTAAGGAGCAGAATAACTAAATGCATTGTGAATTTTTAAATGGTTCAGTAGCCTGTTACCTTTAGGCTGAGGATATTAATTCATCCTAGGCTGGTAGAGACTGAAATGACTTTCAGTCTCTGACAGTGACGGTACTTGAGTGGATCTCAATAGTATTTGATTTTGTTTGTTTGGCAAAAATTGTTGCAACATGTAAATAAGTAATGTAAACTAAAAGTCACTTAGAATATAGACAATAAAAACAGCTGATATAGAATTGGTCAAACACTTTACAATATTTTAATAAAAGGCAAGTAAAATATGTTTTGCAGTGCATTTGAAAAGATTCCCTTCCTGTCACCAATTATATGAGAGTTCTCTGACCCTCTTAGGTAACGAGGTAATGTTTAGTGTAAAAATCTTGGTGTAGTTATATGAACTGTTGATTATGCAGATTTCAACTACCAGTCTCAAAGTTCAAATTTTCTCCTGTGGCTATAAAATTCTAATAGTCAAATATACCCTGTAATTAGTGTTCTTAGGGAAGGTTAGGAGAAAATGATGAAATGGTTAAATTGGGTTGGCAGCTCTCAACAAAATGGGTGATGCTGCTTTATAGTAACTTGAACTAGTAACTTTATACGCAAGTGTTTTGTTCCAAATCCTGCCTACATCTGCTACTAACATTATTGGAAGTTATGAACGGATAGGAAAATGTAATCCCAAATCTGTTTAAATTCCACATTCTTCTGAGACTGTGTAATTATATTAGTCTCTTTCTGAAATAGATCCAGGGTAGCTACGTTAGTAATATGTAATATGACAAGATCAGGTTTGCCATAGTAGTTGTGGCCTTCAGAAATCTGCTGGAAAGCAGAGGGATGAAATTTAAGGGCAGGAAAGGCAAGTGTTGCTTGGGCAACAATGAATATGTAATAACACAAACGAAGAACACTAGAATTTCATTAGACATGTACCCAAACAGGAAAGGTTAAATGATTAAAGGAATTATTTGTTCTAAATTACAATAAACTTATTTTCTTGTTTATTTTGTATTTATCTGAAAATTCACTTTGACTGGTTGAGGGGAGAAGACCAGCTGTTTGTTTTTAATTTATAATCCAAATATTTGTCTGCTCTTATTAAAGATACGTTTGCTTGTTGAACATCTTTCTTTTTTGAATAAAGAATCCTATTAAGTGTGAAGCTGATGTTTTGCAAAAAAAAAAATCCAAATATATTTTACTATCCAGAAGAGAGCCCCGAAATGACAGACTGTTTAGACTATAGCTTATGACAACAGTTTGAATGTTAGTCATGTGGCAGAGAGGAAAGGGTGGATACATAATCTTCCAAAAAGGCTGTTTACTTCATAAATCAGGGCTAGTTTGGTTTAGCTGTTGTCTTTTTTTCCTGAATTGTGAAATATTTTGTGTAGTAGAACAAAAGCATAAAAAAACCCCAAGAAATGCACTTTCTAAGAACTATCTGTTACTAAGGTACCATGGACTGATAGCATTTGACTTTATTAAGGTTTCTAATACGTAAATAGGAATAAATCAAATGTAAAATAATGGCAATTATGCTAATTATCTCACTGGAAAGTGTGTTGGGAACCTGGCTCCAGTGCTTCATTAATTGCATTATAGAGCAGTAACTCAAATGCAATGATTTGTCTTTTGGTTACCAAGTCTAAAGACTTAGTATAATGGTAAATATGTTGGTAATTTTTTGTTTCCAGGAGATGGTTGACTTTCGCTCTAGAGTTTAATGAGCATATTCTGTGTTTTGTAAACCTAATTTTAAACTGGCTGTGTTGTGAAATGTCAAATATCATTTGTCTTCTTTGTTTATAGAGGAGGGCTTCACCTGGGAAGGAGGCTTAACATTTTCCCTGTTTCTCCCACTGTTACAGAAGGGAAACCTGAAGCAGGTTAGTGGAAAAGCAACAACAAAAACCCAAATGGAGGAAATTCTTCAAAAAATAGAGAAGTTTGCTCTGTCATGGAAGAGAGAGGTTGGCTGCTAGCTTGCTGGTTTCAAACCTGGTCATAAATTGATGTGTGGTCTAAATCTGGTCATTGGTTGGCAAGACTTCTTCACAGTGTTATGGAATAATAGTTTTTGATCCTGTATCAATCAGGACTAATGTACACTAACAGTTATGTGGTAAAGCTGACCTGTTGCCACTGTTGTCGGTGTTTCTTCCATGAGCACTAAAATTCCCCTGAATTTTCTCAGTAGAAAATGTATATTTGGTTTACCCTAGTTCTTAGTGGGCATTTGTCTGTATTGCAAAACCATTGCACTAGATCTTGCTCTGAAGAGGCTTGAGACTACAGTGACAGGGGAAATTGGATAGGATTGAAGTGTACTGTCAAAACGCTGAGAACCTTACTGTGACTTCCTGGATAAACTATGCCTAGTTTTACCTGGTGTAGATAATCCCTCGCTTGCATGAACTTCAGACACGTACAGAAATCTTATTTAAACAAAAACAGAAAACCCTTTAGCTGTACCACTCTGTTATATCAACAAATCTCACCAGCTATGCAGGGTCAGGCCTGACTGGTGAATGGATGGGATACCCTTCAAAAAATGAAAGCCAGAGTGGGTGTATGATTTAGGGGTTAAAGCTGAGGACTGTCATACTATGTGACTATGGTCAAATCACTTAAGTTGCCTCTAAGTTTCCCTTTCTGTAAATGGGTACAGTAATGCCTTGTAGGCAATGAATTAGAATTCACTGATTTTTATAAAATACTCTGAATTCCTTTGGGGAAAAAAGGCACTGTTGCATTGCAAAGTGTTATAATAAAGTGTAAAACTAGAGGCTGCAGAAATAGTGTTGGTGATTCAGTAGATGGCATTCTTCTCTGTGGATTAGTAAAGAGCCCATTTCAGGGTTAGTGGTTTTGTTTTTAGTTTTTTTTTTTTAAGACGAGGAGTTTTAGTTCAACTGCTTTGGCCAGCTTCTAGTTTGGATAATTTTGTCTCCATTAATTTCTCCCTGCAGTTTCAATTGTATAGCTTATTTATTTCCTGTACTAAAATGTCACATAGTGCCATTTCACAGATTCTAAGGCCAAAAGGGACCATTGTGATCATCTAGTCTGATCTCATGTATATTACAGTCCATACATAGAACTGCCCCAAAATAATTCATAGATATTTTAGAAAAACATCCAATCCTGATTTAAAAACTGTCAGTGATGGTGAATCCACTATGACCGAGGGTAAGCTGTTCTAATGGTTAATTACTCTAACCGTTAACAATTTACACCTTATTTTCAGTCTGAATTTGTCCAGTTTCAATTTCCAGTCATTGGATCATGTTATACCTTTCTCTGCTAGATTAAAGAGCCCATTATTAAATATTTGTTCCCCATGTAGATACTTAGTCACTTCTTCACCACCTGTTTGTTCAGTTGAACATATTGAACTCTTTGAGTCTATCACTAGAAGGCATGTTGTCTAATCCTTTAATCCTTCTTGTGACTATTCTCTGAACCTTCTCCAATTTATCAACATTCTTCTTGAATTGTGGATACCAATATTCGAGCAGCAGTTGCACCCGTGTCCAATACAAAGGTAAAATAACCTCTCTGCTCCTACTTGAGATTCTACTGTATATGCACCCCAGAATTGCATTAGCTCTTTTTGGTCCCAACATCACACTAGAAGCTTATGTTCAGCTGATTATCCACCAGGATCCCCAAATCTTTTTCAGACATAGGACTTCCCAGGAGAGTGTTCCATATTGTCAAGCAGCTGCTGATTTTACTGAATGCAGTCACCTCTGGGATGGAATGTGAGCACTGTTTAACAGAATACTGCAATTATCTCCTTTAGGAATCAAATTAGTATATATGTAAGATTATTAGGTTTTTAAAAATCAGCCTATTTTTACTATATTGCACATTCTGATTTTATATATATACTTTTAAATTACCCTTCCAAAAATACAGATTCAGATGGCTAAATTTTTGGATTGAATCAAGCATGTTCAGGCATAATGACTGGTGTTTATAGTTGTTTTTATAAGTATTGAACTTATAACTTTGAACTAGGTTGTACACAGCCCTATAAAAAGCAGAACTGCAAATGTTATTGATACTATTTAAAGACCCACATACTATTTATGTATACCCTAATTTATAAATAGACCGTAGCACAAGTAAAACTTGAAGAAAGCAAGTGAATTTTATGGGATTTGCCTTAAGATATCAACAAGGATGCCTCTCAGTTTTTAACAGCATTTCCTGGTCTAATTCCTAGTAGGATTGAGGAAAGCTACAATAAATTTCAAGCCAGAAGCCATATTACACAACTGTTCTGACCAAAAGTCTCATTGCAAAACAGTTTTTTCCTTAATAGCAGGAAATACCAATAAGATATTTGATTCCTTAAGTTATTTCCCCTTGTTTTCTTGTTAGTTCATATTAATGCAGATATTGAACTAAAATGTTGTTTAAACCCACTATGAATGCAAGTTCCTTGTTTTGTGTTGAATATTTATTTTGAAATCCTGAATATTAAGTGGAAAATCAAGGGGAAACTGTTTAAAGGCTGTTAAATCTATAGAGAAAGGAGCATTTTACACTATGCTGTTTTCTATTTCATAAAGGTAAACGTAAGGTTGTTTTGCATCCAGCAGACACACCATGCTTGTAAACTTAAACTCTGGGCCGTCCTTTTAAAGAAGATTGATTAGTAGAAAATTATCAGAATATAATAAAGTAGGAGCAATGATTCCTTTATAATTAATGTTGTCACTTGATTTCCATTACATCTTTTTTTGGGTATCCTTCTAACTTCTCCAAACGAAAGAATATTTTCATGAAAATGGGAAACTGATGGGTATGGCTGAGGCAGAATTTTTCTGCCAAGTATGAATTAATTTGAACAAGGGTTTTCTAATTTACCACCCTCAAAATAGAAATGTTCTCCAGAGTGAAAAAGTCTTTGAGAGTCTGCCATTTTTGTAGCAAAGGAAAGAAAGAGAGAACTTAGTTTACTGGATTCAACTAGTTGATGTAGTCCACAAGACCAAAGATTAGTTCATTAGTTTTAAACTACTAACATTTGAAATAGTGAATGGCTGTAACCCATAAACTATGTGACTTCTGAAGACTTAAGCTTTCATTTTAGGAAACTCCAGCTTTCTTTCTTGCAAAGACAAACATAAAAATGTAAACCCATTGCAAGGGAGGCTTTTCAATGGAAAGGGATAAATTTTCCACTTAAACCAAAGTTAATTAGACAAACCATTATTAAATTGGGACACATTTTTTGAAAAAGAAGTCTTCACAGTTTAAAAATTATTGTAAGGCAGTTTTGCCTGATCTCTGCTTCCAAATACCATGCATCGTCTCGCTCTCATGTAGTGGACCGTCATCTGTTGTAGATGGGCAATGGCTTGTTTTGTGTGCCTGAGAATGAAAAGAAATTAAGCAGGAAGGAATGTGTCAATGAGTGTAAACGCTGGGTGAGATGAGCACTGAATTGGCCTGCTGCAGGTTATGTAAATGTTAGACATGAAGCCAAGAGATGACTAAATGAATAGGACTCATAACATATAATGCTTTGGCCAAATTCCAAGGATGATGGTGGGTTGGGTGAGCTATCGAGGGAATACTAGAATATTTTAGAAAGGATTGTTTAATGGAAAAGATGAATGGAGGGTTTTTTTTAAGCACTTATGAAAGCAAAGTAAACTGTCTGAAGAAGTAACTGCCTCAAAATCTTTTAAGAGAGTGCTTGAGAAAATGCAAAATTATAATTTTTATATATAATCTATAAAAAATTGCATATAGTATTTAATATAATATATATATGTGTGTGTGTGAAATACTGTATGCAAATATATATATTAAATACTATTTTACAGCATTTCACAGTTGAGGTAGAAAGACGTGGGCCTAATTTTTCAAAAGTGACCAGTGATTTTGGCTGTCTCCTTTTTTGGGTGTCCAGCATGAGACATCTGAAAGAGTCAGACCCCTTTAAATCATGTCAAGTTGGACACCCAAAAACTCTAGTCGCTTCTGAAAACTTAGGCCATAGTCCCGGTCTCAAAGAGTTTGCAATGTAATCTTAGATAGCATGATGCGATGACTGGGGGATGACAAATACGGAGGGGACAGGGTGTGGGAGGATGAGCATTATAGTGATATAAGTTACCCAGATCAGTCATGTGCATGTCCTTGAGTATAGTTCATATTTTTTTATCATTTAATATTAATGCTGACAGTCTCATTTATTGTGGGCATAATGAAAGATGTGAGTTTTGTGATTATTTAAGGTATATTCCATGAAAGGGGACCCCATTTATCTCACTATCTTAAATGTTAAATCAGGATTTCTCAGTCTTGTATGCTAGATTATTGACTCTGACATCCAAAAATCTCAACTGGCAGAAAAGCTGGGCAACCCAACAAGATGGGCAAGTTTCATAGTAAACAATTGGGAACATTTGCAGATGTGGGCTGCCTTGCCGAATGAGAACATAATCATGAAATACCAGGAAATCCCTTAGAGTAAACAAGGTCCTCTTGTCTTTATTAAAGAGTACATAGACCAAGTTCAGAATTTGATGAGTTAAATATAAAAACCTGTGACTAACAAAAAGCAGCCAAAAAGTGTCAAAAACAGAAACTGTCACACAATGGAAAAAGTTAATTCCTATTCTTAATGTTTGGGAAAGGGGTTGAAATAATTTAGCTGCAATTTTGACAGATCAGTAGGCTAGTTTAATAGTCCTTTGAGAATTCAGTGAGCTTTCATTGCAAAAGCACAACATGAAATATGATATTAATAGCTACAACTTAAAATATGTATGTGTGAAAGGACCAGCCTTCATTAAGTTTGATAATCTTAAACAAAATATGCATAAGTCAATAATACTCTGGCAAACTGACAGGTCTGGGCTATTTTTTTTCTTATTTAGAGTCTTCACCTACACTCTGGGATCTGGAATTTGCTAATCAGCTTGCAGCAATAAATCAAAAGCCACCTCGGAATGGTTTTGAAGAGATGATCCAGTGGACAAAAGAGGGAAAACTGTGGGAGTTCCCTATTAATAATGAAGCGGGTAAGTGTACTGTAGCTTTTGTGGTCTCTTTATATTTGTAGAGAATGAGAGCACCAACACCAATGCTTGAGTTTTAATAATGTGTTTCAGGTATGCCTACACATATTTTATTAATGCTTTTGCTCAAGTAAGCAACTTTAAGCTGTCCTAAATTAGTGAAGCCTCAGATGAAGATATCCTGGAAATTTTGCTATTAGATCCTAATCAAAACTTTAAGGAAAACAGTTTAAATATTAAAATGAGTTGGGGAAGAAGCATGATGAAGTTGTGATCACTGAACAGGTCTAGGGCTGTGGCTTGAAATTGCTTAAATCCAACCAAGCTCTCTGGTTCTCAATAGGGTTTTGTAGCTGGAGAGTTTCTGCTACTTCTATAGACACTCTAAAGCTAACAAACCAAATATAAAAAGGAAACTAACCCCACAAATCATTTACATTTTGATATAGTTTAAATGCTTTCATTGGAGTTTACCCCAGATCCAACCCCCAAGAGGTCACCCAGCTACATAACATACTACCTGTTACTATGGCTTTTGGATTACAGATTGCTATAATAAGCCATAAAGCCAGTGTCTTTATTAAGATCATGGTCTTTAGTGTCTAGTGAAGTTATGGATATCTCCACTGCTACGATGTTCATCACCTCCCTCAACACAGCTTTCAAGATCCAGGGATCCTACACATGCCTAACATATGTGGTGTACATCATCCAATGCACTTACATAGGGTGTTTTTGTCTTAATATTTTCCTATCACCTGTGGGTGAACACTTTTCACAAAGTGATCACTCTATATCTCACTCTCAGTCCTCATCCTCAAAGGAGACATTAAAAACCGTGGTCTTAATAAAGCACTGGATTTATGGCTTGTTACAACAATCAAGATCCCACTAACTCCCCTTCTTCTCCTATTACTACGGGGTATTAACTCGCCACTTCATCTTGAATGGTCCCTTAGAATATGTACTAAATACTTACACTAAACTGTCTGTTCAGTCTTGTATTTAGCTGTAACACACTAAGTGCCTTTCCCAGACCTGAGGAAGAGCTCTGTGGCGCTCAAAAAGCTTGTCTCTCTCACCAAGATATATTGCCTCGCCCACCTTGTCACTCTAATATCTGACATGGCAACAACAACACTGCATACAACAATTTACTGAATATTACAGTCAGATTGTTCCCTTAGGCCTGTCGTTTCATAAGCAAAATCAAAGTCACAACATTGAGCCGCTCCAACTGTCTTACTGGCTGGACATACATTATACAGTACATAAGTAACCCCCTCCTTTTTTATAGAAGTATCTATATGTGAAGTTAAAGAACATCATGGATGGAAGAGGAAATGCAGATATACAGAAAGTGTGTGAACATTCTTTAGATAGGGTTTTAGTAACTGTGGAAAGTTTGGCAGTGGTCTTAAATCATTAAACACATAACAGGTTGGTTTCTGGAGGCGATACTCCTTGAAAATCTGCCATTCTGTATAAAGTTGTAAATTGCATAATGTGGTTGAGCTGTTTCTTAATGTTCTCATCCTGTTTTGGTGGTTTCTTAGAATTTAATCACTGCTTCCATGAGAATCGATCTGTTCTGTTGTGCACTAATCCAAATGTATACTAGTCGTGTTTTTGCAATCTCATAATCACTGTGGCCAATGGCATTTCTGGTGTTGTAATGTGGCGGGAACCCTGCTGTCTGGGGGTAGTGAATTAGCAAAGAGTCTTCACGTATAGTTAAGCAAGAATCTTTATTGATTTGTCCACAAATTAGTCATGTGGAAAATGCCAACAGAGAGCTCCAAAATTTATCACAGCTCGGGTTGCAAAAATCAGGCCAATAAATTCCATCCTATCAAAGCCCCAGCTCTGTTTACAGGTCATTAATCACATCAGGTACATCAAAGTGAAATAGAAGGCTTGGGGAAACTCATTAAGTTGTGCTAAATTTCTTGTAATTCTAACAGCCTTACAGAAAAGTGGCACTCATTACCAGTTCTAATTCTAGATTTTGTATCCCTGTCTCTTCAATAGCAGCACTTTCCATTACCTAGTTCTGAAAAATAGAGGTTTCCTTTTATATACCATAAGCCTGTGGTTATACATTTTAATTTTGCTTAGAACTGTATCTGTGGTGGGAACAGATGTTTAACTTGGACCACTATAAAGGTACCCCAGTTCTTAAACTTTTAAATAAAATATAGATAGGAAAGAAAAAATATGCAATTATTTTTTCCGACATCCTTCTCAAGCATCCATGTCCCTTTTTTAAAATGGCTTGAGCTGTACGTCCATGCCTTGATCACATGACTTCTGAATAACTCACTGGGTAAATGGGACAAAACACATCTTGGTTCTCTCCCATATACGAGTGCCTCATTTTGAAGAACTTCTGGATCATTGGTGCTTCAAAGGTTGCCACTGTTGTAGTGATCGGGTTAAAGGAAATCTTTGCAAACATGTAATTGCATCTGGCACCTTCTATATGCAAAAGTTCCACCAGTCATATGTTAGCTGTTTCAGTAATTCTCTTAAATGGTTTTGGGTCAACTAAATGCCAAACTGTGAAGCTATCACATATTTCTTCTACTTCCTTCCTAAATTGCAAGTGTTCATGTTTTGGGGTTAGGAAGGAGCACTACTACTAGAGAGAAATAGAAATTATTTAATAAAAAAAAAGGCAGAAAAAGGCAAAAAATGTTGGCCCGCATTTTTAAGATCTGAAAAACTTATTTGCCCATTTCCAAAACTCTGATCAGGTTTAATATCTATACTTGGAACTAGTGACTATATAATCCTACCAAAAGTACCCTTAAACTTCTGTGGAAAGCTACTCATTTAGTGTATAGAACACAGAGGACTTACAATGAGAACATTTTATTTTGGGTTTATATAGCGCTTAGCACAATGGGGTCCTCGCCCATGACTAGGGCTCATAGACACTACAATAATACAAATACATAATAAAAATAATAATAGTCACTGCCTCCCTATTTCACTGTTGCATTGTTCAGATTCTTTTAATAGCAAATCAGTCAATTTCTCTCAGACTTTTATGACCAATAGATTACAGGAATATTTTAAGGGGGACCCTAGAATCACGAACAATAACTATCAGGATTTCCTGATTCAGGAAACCACAAAATATTTGGGGAGAAAAGGGGAATTGGAACCCATTGTTGTGATAATTGGAGGATTCCTAGTATTCACAAAGTGGATTTGAGTTTCCAAGCCCAGCGGAAATATACCTTTTAAAGCCAATATGATCAGTGAAGAAAATGTTAGCTTCTGGGAAGAGGGAAACATCTGGTTTCTTTTTCAAGGACAAGGGAGATAAAGGTGATGGGTAGCTGGTATTGATAAACACTGCACATATTACTGATGACGCAGTGTGGGAAAATAGACATCCTTTTCCAGCTTCTTCAGGAATTGCAGTGTTTGAAGGAAAAACAGGAAAGAAACCATGGTAACTTTGCGAGTATGGTGTACAAGTTGAGAGATACTTCCATGCTACAGTGCTGGGCTGCTGGAGGTTTGGAAGAAGCTGACATGCCATTAATCCTTGCACTAATATGTCTGTCTCTATTATCTCACTTTCATTTTGAAGATTAAGGTTATTGCCAAATGTCTCATATCCTGGTTAGTATCAAAATAATTTTGCATTCATTCCTGTGTTTTATTACCTGGAAGTATTTACCTGCAATATAGTCAATCCTTTCCGATAATGCAGAGAGAGTTTTCTTTACTACAAATATAAGAGAGAATGAATGTAAGCCTACAAATAGTAGTACAAATTCCAGTCTTCAATATTATGTTCTACTAAGATGGCATGCACCAAACTAATGTGCTAACGTACAGAGATGTTTTTTCATCATAGGTCACTCTAGTTCAAAGGGTTAGGTGTATTGGAATCACTTAAATACTTTTAAATGTTCGCTTCTAGTGTGGGAAACTGTAGTGCTTATTCACAGCTATGTGAAGGACTAGTAACGCTCATAATAAATGATGTGCAAGCTTCCACAAATAACTCTGCCAGTATCTCTGTTATTACAGTACTGGTCATTGGCATAAACATTTTGGGCTTAATTTTGTCAAATTGTTGGGTTTGGGATGTAGGCACATATCTACTAGATCTTTAACTTAAGACCAATGGACTTGACTTCACTTTTTGTTTGTTTTTTGAACTATCTTGTTCATCTATAAACAAACATTTTACTGTTCTGTAGTCTTTACAAATGTATAGTTAATTTTATATCTTATCAAATAATTGCATTAATTAGTGACAGGTTTTTTTATCAACTGAAGGGGGGGGGAAATCTCCATGCAGTCACAGACCCCAGTCTGTCTTGATTTCTGGATTGGTAATATGGCCAAATCTCATGGTATTTCTGAGACAACCCCTTTTTTTCTATACATATTTGAGTTTGTAGACCTCAAGATCTTAGTTTGATTTGTGTGTCCTTTGAACACTAGTGTCAAAATACAGAGCAGAAACCAGTGAAATCCACTGGAAAGAGGACTGAAATCACTACTTGATTGATCTGAGGCATTTTTGGTGAAAGGTCTGTAACAAACCACTGTGCCACCTAGCTGTGAGATGGAGTGCTTTTAATGTAATATTTTTGCATTCATCACTGCTAAAGATAACATCTGACAAAACTTGCAAAATCTTACAATTGTGTGTACCTCGATCTATTCGTATTTTTATGATTGCAAAAGTCTGGAAAGGGTTAAAAGAAGTGTTTAAAAATATTCCCTGTTTCAAATTTAATAGTAAAAAACTAAAATTGTGAAATATAATGAACATATAAGCATGGAACTCATTCAAATAACAAATACTTTCAAAGGTAGGCTTGTTCAGTTTGTACAACCTTGTTTTTTTTTCTTTAAACCATTTTGCAAAGTTATGCAACCAGTATATTTCTTATTACAAGTAATACTCAATTCAGTCTTTAAAAAATATTGCTAGCAGCCCAGCTTTCATAGCCCATAACAAACCAGAATTTGCATGTAATGGAAGAAAACAGGGGTTTTTGGTAAGAAAATGGATTTCAGAGTCAGGCTTCAATGGCATTACCAAATATGAAATATAGGTTAAAATTGCCCTCTTAAAGAGAAACATAAAATGAAAATAAAGAGTTGTGGATGTTGGCATGACATCTTGTGCACTGAAATCTCTCCTATTTGGGGAGGACAGGGGTTGAAGTGTGTGTTGTTGGACCTCACCACAGTCCCCTTCCATTCCACTGCAGTTTATTTTTTAGGGGGGGGTACAGCACTGAACTATTAATTCTACCAACTAGAAGGAGTTTACATGCAAGACTTAGTGAACACACACAAGACAAACTGAAATTATGATGATATAACCGTGTTTTGCAATTCACCTTGTAGGTATTGAAGATGATGTTGAATTTCATGAACATATCTTTCTGGATAAATACCTAGAAGACTTTACCAAGCAAGGACCTATTCGCCACTTCATGGAACTAGTGACCTGCGGGCTTTCCAAGAACCCATATCTAAGTGTTAAACAAAAAGCTGAGCATATTGAATGGTTCCAGAATTACTTCCAGGAAAAGGAGGAACTTCTTAAGGAGATTGATGATCATAAGAAAGAAACAGACCTTAGTCTTGAAAGGAAGAGTCTATCAGAGTAACAAGTGGTCACTTTAAAAAAACCCATTGTGTCAATGCATAGTAAAACATTATAAACACCTGATTTGAAAGATGTAATTGTATGAACTTTTTAAAAAAAGCTAAAATTTGCCACTCTTCTGTTAATTTGTATACACAAAATGGAGGGAATGGTCTGCAACTCATAGACTGTACATAGCAAAAATGTCATTAATTCTGCAGTACAAATTCCCTGATTGACCATTTAATTCATTGTAAGCCTATCCAAAATAACCAGTAAGTAGATTTCTCAGAATGGTCTTTGTTTTACTGTTTTCTGCTGAATGCATTTTGGAATTTGATACGGTCACAGAATCTAGAGATGAAAAAAGGCCAGTAATGTCGTCGACTCCACCCCCCTGCCAAATCAGGATTGTTCCCTGTTGCATATTAATATTTTGTGTGGTTTATTTTTAAATATGCTAATTGCTGGTGGGTGATTCCATTGTTTCCCTTGAGAGACTATGTTCTGTGGCCTAATCTGGTTTACCATTAAGAAGTGGTTTTATTTTTTTTAACCTTCTTTCCTCTCCAGAATTCCCTCCCTTCTGCTCTCTGCAGCACTTTATTATATTAAAATATTTTACATACATAATGATAATGTACATATGGTATATTGTCAAACAGCCTCTCCTGCACTCTGCCCTTTATCGCAGTTACTTCTAACATCCCAAACCTGAGCAGCTTCAAACACCTGTCATTGGGAAAAAAATAAAATAAAATCAGCCTGCCACAAAAATGCCCTGGAACATGTAATTTAATCCCCACTATCAAACTGGATCAGAGCAGGCAATATTCAATCCTACTCCAGTATCTGGATTAAGTTCTGTTTATCTCCTGCCCTGCAGGGTTAGAAATGGGAGGTTCAGATCTTATCAAGAGGTACAGAGTTCTAGTACTTTCTTGTTTTATAACCTTGTCTTCTGCTCTGTTGTACTATATTGTGTGGTGCTCAGATGTTCATGAATTAAGTTCCATGTTTTCTCTTAGGTGATTCACATTTGCACAGTGCTCCAAATCTATTAAGCATGTTTTATGTATTTCTTGCCTTTCATATGGCCCTCTATTATCCTTTATTCTGCCTTTAACACAGACTCTATTTGATGCTCTCTAGGCTACATTTGTCTGCTTTTCTAGCATATTTACAGTCTGATAAATTGTGCACTCTCTTGTGCCTCTCCCCCACATCACTGTAGGAGCTGTTGGCACTGGAGGTCCTAACTTGTTCTCCATATAGTCTGTTGGCTAGTATTTCAGGTACTTATTACTCCTGAAAGCCATGATACAGGAAGCAATAAATCAATAAATAAAGCAATACATTAGAAGCACGAGGAAGACCAAAGACAGGGTAGGCCCATTGCTCAGTGAAGAAGGAGAAACAGTAATAGGAAACTTGGAAATGGCAGAGATGCTTAATGACTTCTTTGTTTCGGTCTTCACCGAGAAGTCTGAAGGAACGCCTAACCTAGTGAATGCTAATAGGAAGGGGGTAGGTTTAGCAGATAAAATAAAAAAAGAACAAGTTAAAAATCACTTAGAAAAGTTAGATGCCTGCAAGTCACCAGGGCCTGATGAAATGCATCCTAGAATACTCAAGGAGCTAATAGAGGAGGTATCTGAGCTACTAGCTATTGGAAAATCAATGGGAGACGGGAGAGATTCCGGAAATATAGTGCCCATCAATAAAAAGG